AGGCATGAAGGTCTAGTCAGAGACATATTAGAGGCAGAAACAGGAGTTAGGAGGGGTAGAGGTAGACCTAGATTAGATTACTGTTCGCAAATAGTTAAGGATGTGGGTTGTTCTAATTTTAGGAAATGCGAAGATTAGCTCAGGACAGGAAGAAATGGAGGTGCGTGTCCAACCAGTCTTAGGACTGACGTCCTTATGATGGTGATGATGTTGGTATTAAAAACTATTCTTGATAATATCTTAAATATTCTCATATTATTAAATCGAAGAAATATTGTTGAGTAAGGAGGAGAAGGTTGATAAAAGCTTTTTTTCGAATAAATACAATATTCCCTAAATAAGATCATTCTTATTTTCGTGACCACTTTATGTAGTATTTTCGATATACATAATGGTCTTTAAAAAGGCATATAACTGATAAGAATTGATTAATTCTAGCAATATATATGATTGAACTTGGGTTTATCTGATCCTTAGGGGGTGAGGGGGATGTGGACCCGAACCTTCCCCCCTCCCTATGAATCCGCTAGCGTCCGATGCCTTAATATTTTTCCTTAAAAATGTAATGCGACAATGTAATTGTATTTTTACATGCCTTTTGTGCCTTTAAAATCTGACATAACTCTAAACTGAAAGCTCTAAATTTTTAAACATAATAATACAGATATTTTTGCATTATCAAATAAAAACGCCTTATAATTTTGCATTAAGTCGTAGCGTTTTGGTTTGTTAAATGTAAATGTTTGCGGTTTTAAATTTTACGTAAAATGTTCGTCAGGATGGGACACAACTTTTAATCCATGGCCTGTATCTCCATGTTGTGACTCCTGTGGATGTAACGGCTAGTTTCTTGTAGAAAAACATATAATCGATTTGAAAAAATGACAAAAAAATCTGTTGTTTCTAATGATGACATTAAAATTCCTTTTGTCGTCAACAGAAGAAAAGCTTCGTCTAATAAAATAAAATCAGTTAACATTGTATTCAAAAAAATTAAGTACTTATATAGTTGTTTTTAATTTGTGATAATTTCAGTTACTCTTATGTTGAATGCATTTTGAAAATAACCTCCACTGCCATTAACATTTCGTTTGTAGGGAAGAAAAATATTGATTTACGTCAATTATCGCGAATAAATAGAGTAGTGCATTATAAATTTAAAGTTGTTATTAAGCTAAGAATGTTGAAGAGAAGTTGTGTTTGGAAATCGATAGGTATTGTGTCCTAAGCAAATATTTGTTCATTAAATTTTGTCTAAACAAACTATAATGCTTTGATAATGGATAAGATAGGTTTAGGCAAAATTTGCATCTCGGCAAATAGTTTAATTATTCATAATAATTAAAACAGCAAAAATTAAATTAGTTAAGGAGACCTCAACATTTATTATGTGACAAAAAATTAAAATTTACAGTTACATAGTATTTATACATTTGTTTATATTTACAAAAAACAGAGGCGCGAGAATCTGTGTGTATGTATAGATATTTATAATTTGTAAAACATATAAATCTCTATTTACAATGCTTATAACAAAAAAGTTTAACGTAAATTAGAAATTAGACCGAGATCGTTAGGTACTCATGCCATTCGGCTGATGGGTACTATAGGTATTTAACTAACAGTTGGAAAAAAATTAGCCTTGTCACTAACAAACATCACAATAATTAATAAATGCGTAATAAGTTTGAAAAATTGAACACGATTACTTCGGTGTAGGTAATAAGTTGGTATTAAAATGGTTATATACAAATATTTACATATATCTAATGATGAATCTACACAGCGTGTCTTCTAAATACAGACAAGTATAAAAAAAGAAATTTTTAAAGAGTAAAGAATAAGAAAAAAGGATCTATCATGTTTAAAAGTCAGTTATCACTTATTAGATGTTACTCAGATTTTGTTATCAGAATTACTCACAATCAGCCAAAATAAAAACAGATTCGAGAACAACAAAAAAAATACGAGTTATAGATACAGAGATAGATAGATGCAGTACCTAAAATAATGAGATTTCCTTCTCGAATTTGAGTCACAATGATAGAAAAAAAATATTGTTACGTACGAGACTGCCATTTAGATTCAATTTTTACGTTTTCCTCATCACTTCGCGTAAATGTTCAAAATACGTAATAACAAAACGTTCGCATAATACGTGATCCGAGAGTGCTTAAAATTTAAGCCAAGGGATATTGTCACAAGCTGGTCGTCCCCGACGGTGTGTGATACAGAGGATTATTGTAATAATCGTTACCTATCGATGGATGAGCATGCATCGAATTCGGAAGCGGACTCAGCCCATTGTAAGGATATTGCGAATCGCCGTACATTTTCAGTTCGGGCTTACTTTCAACAGGTAACAGTCTATTTATCGAGAATGGGTGATTAGAAGGCGTATATCCGGTAGGTTCCTGTTTTAGATGGTTCATAGATCCGTGGTGCAGCATGGATTCGCTACTCAACGATAATGGATGGACCCTACTCACCATAGCGGACAGTTCCTCGTGCGAAAGATTTTGTTGTTGATGTTGCTGATGCATGCCCAAATCGTTATGATGGAGAAGATTCATCTGCTCGACGTCCAGTTTGGACGAATGCAACAACATCGAACTGAGACTCCCATCGGTCGTTTTGTCTAAATGATGACCCTTGTTATGTCCGTCGTCGCCGTGATGTGAAGGAGTCGTTTTTCCGGAACTGCTTTTGTCCATGCTTCCACCATGATGCGGAACCGTCTTCTGATGCTGACGTTGGATTTCCTTCTTTTCATCCTTGAATCGCTTCTGTCTTCTCAAATAGCAACCGTTCTCGAACATGTTTCCCGAATCAGGATGAAGACTCCAAAATGATCCCTTTCCTGGCTTGTCTGGTGTCCTGGGGACTTTCACAAAACAGTCGTTGAATGAGAGCGAATGTCGAATAGAATTCTGCCATCGTTGTTGATTTTGCCTGTAGAACGGAAACAAGTCCATGATGAACTGGTAAATTTCGGACAAAGTGAGCATTTTCGACGGACTATTCTGGATGGCCATCGTGATAAGTGATATGTAGGAATAAGGAGGTTTCGCGTGCGTATAACTTCTTCTGTATGTCTTGTCGGCCCGTGCACGTTGAAGAGCACTATTCGGAGACGTGTCTCCTCCGCTGAGGTCCGCCCTGGCGGATAAACCACCTACAGAACCATACCCATTTACGGTAGGCATAGCCGCTCCCATGCACGCGTTCATATTCGACATGGGAGATCCTATTGCACTGTATCCCATTCCTGACGATGACATACAATTACCATTCATGGACATCGTCGTCATGGGCATTCCTGAGTTGAGCATTCCCGAACCGAACGTTGCCGTTTGCGGAGAACACGAATTCATGGACGCCATAGAAACGCAAGACATGGCGTTCATTGAATAGCTCGGTGCCATCGGGGACATTGGATTCGAAGATGTTGCCATTGCCGACGGTTCAGTCGAGTAGAGTTTCTGCGGTAGCATAATCATGGATCTTCTCGTATAAGTCTCAGTCCATTCACTTCATCGTTTTTCAAGTCCAACGTGGAAAGTTTTTCGAAAATGAAAATATTGGATGGTTTTTTTACACGATGACGTAGTTTTTCCGATTACGCAACGGTGCACTTTTTGTCGACTATACTCGCAGTTAGATACGGCACACACAGAACGCAAACGTATTAATCGATATGATCTTAACTCGTCATCGAGGCTTTTGTATCTTTGTTTACATCACGACCGGTCCACAAACAAGTTAACACTTTAGGTATTCCAAACCAGCACTGATTGGAAAAACAAATACTCCTCGCTGCCTGTTTACTTAGATACTACAAGCCCGCTGTGAAGTACTCGGAGCTTTAGGTAGTCAAATACGACGTCGTCAGGGGAGGGCATAGCCATGGCAACAGAGGCGCCAATCGGCGTCTGTCGAGCGTCATCGTCATGGCAACTCAGTACGAAAACGACTCAGCTATTGGTTTAACTTAAGCCTTAACTGATGGAACGGGACGTCCACGCCCCGCGACGCCAGCGCCTCCGACGTCGCAGGGGGAAAAAGTAGCTTACACTTTAGGGCCGATTGTTGTCATCCCATTTCAGACGCACATATCTGTCTATCTAAGTGTAATAACCTGTAGTTTTATTTTTTGAAAAGTGAGTTGTTTTGGTCCCAGAGTGTATCTCATAATCACACTTGATGCGTTTTGGTTATTTGTTAGTGAGTGAATTTATGAGTTGAATGTTTGGATTTTGATACGTGTCGAGGTGAAGGATATTTCCGAAGGTAAAATTGCCGATCGAATTGATTGAAAGAAACAAACGGCTAGGCACAAATTTGGCGGTCAATAAACGATAAAGAAATGAGGAACTTGTGGGGATTCACTTGATGGGTTATCTGCTTGGAAAAAGAACGTGCTCTGCGATAAAGAATATGCACCTACGTTGGGATCTATTGATGAGTTTCGTTGTCTTCGAAGCTTCTTGTGTTTTCCTTCTCATATCAATGTGTGGTTCCGTTTTGAAATCTGGCTATTTGTTGGTAAATAATAAGTACTGAGGCATTAATTAAATTTAAGTAGATACATAGTTGTCTTCCAACGTAAGAGTTTCAGCAACTTGAAAACCGAAAGCGAACGCCAGGGCAGAATAAATATACTTTAGGTGTAAAAATATCAAAATCAAGATTTCCTTCTATAAGAATTTGCGTCATGTACCTATTACTATATAGAATAAGTAAACGAAGTTTATAAAAAAGAAAAAACTAATAAATCCATTTATAGTATAGGTAATTAATTTTAGCTTTAGCTGTAATTTTTAAACAATTTTCCGAGAAAAACTGATAACAATAATAAATAATGAAAATATCCACAGTTACATTTAGGTAAGTGGTGATGTATGTTTCATGTTGTTTAGAATTTTGTTTTTACAAAGTTTAGTT